GGGGGGTTAGGCGGAGCGGGGTTTGACTAAGCCTCTCTGTTGGAGGTCGTTGCGGAGGGGAGCGTTTGATCCATCAATAGCAATCCTTACGACCCCCATTCGCAAGAAGTTCGGATCATAGGTCCGCTCTTACAGCCAAGTGTGCTGCTGAGGACTGCTCCTACCATATGAACATTACCCCCTTCTCCACCGCCCCAGAAACACGGATCGCGCTTGCTGCCCATGGGTGAGGTTCAACCTCGCTGCCCTGACCCCATTTGAAGCTCTCAGTGTGAGGGCGCTGCCCGAGAGAAGGCGTGGTAGCTGGAGCAGCAGAAGGGGGCGGGGGGCCGAGGCACCGCCCCACAATTGCTGTGGCGCTCTGGCAGAAAGAGCCAGATGGTATGCAGTGAGGCAAGTGTGAAGACATGCAGTTGCGGCGTGATATTGACCCTCCCTTATCGATCATTTGTATCGCCCTGTTCTCTTTTCAATTGCATGGAAGCGCGGGTGCAGGCGACGGCGCGGGTGCGGATAAGTGGGACGACGTCAGCGAGGATGGGTTTGTGCACGCGGGCTTTCATAGTTGTAGTGGATGTGTGTTATGGTGTTCCACTCTGTCTGAGTATAGGAGGGAGAGTGTTTCTTCATTGCTTGGGGCATGACGGGCGTCATGGCCCCCGCCCCCCCTACCTCCCTTCTGACGTAACGCTCCCCCCCCCCAGTGTGCTCCGGGCACTGCCGCCGTGCGCATCGGGATCCGCACTGGCGTCCGCATAAGAATCCGCATAGGAGTCTGGTCCGCAGTCGTCGTCGTCGTCGTCGTCATCGTCGTCGTCGTCGTCGTCGCTCGACGCTCGTCGCTCATCGCTCGTTGCTCATCGTCGTCGTGCGCCCAGACGCGGCTGGAGCCTGTTTTTTGTTGCACGCCGATGGCGGCAATCATCTGGGGGGGGTGGGGGTGGAGGGGGCCGATGGCGTCACGTTTGCCTAGGAATGGCGGAGGACGGGTAGCAGCAGCAGGTGGCGATCTACACCGCAACGCCCGTGTACACCACAGTGCCTGCGTGCACCACAACGGCTGTGTACACCACCCCGCCTATGTACACCACAGCAGCCGCGTGCAACACAGCGCCAGTGTGTGCCACAGTGCCTGCAGGCACGACAGCGCTGGTGTACACCATAGCGTTTGCGTACATCACATCAGCCGTGTGCAACACAGTACCGGTGTACACTACAATGCTTGCGTGCAACACAGCGCTTGCGTACAGCACGGCGCCTGTGTGCACCACGAGTGGAGCAGTAACCGTGCGCAACAAAGCACTGGTGTTGCCGATGGAATGTTCGAAGGAATCTGTATGACAGAATGGAGCGCATGTGAATTCCACAGAAAAGAGTTATTGTACTAATAGGATTTGGAACGGAATCCTTATGTAAAAAGAAGTGTCGCTTGAATCTAGTAGTCCTCCCAGGTTCGCCCGCATCATCCTGACTCTTCCCATTTGCGTCCCCGAGGCTCCAGCAAACGTGGCCGTCCGAGAACCAAGTGAATTGATTTGATAGAGCATTCTGCGGTGCACGCTGAGATGCGCTCGTGCGCTGTAGCGCCGACACGCGCGACAGTGGGGAAGGGGAGGGGATGCGGAGGAGGAGGATGAGGAGGAGGATGTGGAGGTGCAGGAGGAGGTGGCGGAGGAGGGAAGAGGGAAAACCGTCGCAATCTATTGTCACCACTTCCGTGGCGTGGCGTTTAGCTGTCCGCACCAGGTCCTTCCCTACATGCTCCTTGTACCAGTCCTGTGCACGCAGGCGCTGTGGTGTACACTAGCGCTGCGTTGCACGCGGATGCTGTGGTGTAGACAGGCGTTGTGGTGTGCACAGGCGCTGCGATGCACGCAAACATTGTGGTGTACACAGGTGATGTGTTGCACATGGTTGCTGCGGTGTACACGTTCGCTGTGGTGTACACCGGCGTTCTGGTTCACGCAATCCTTCCGATGTGCACAGGCGCTGCGTTGCACACGGCTGTTGCGGTTTACGCAGGCGCTGTGGTGTACACGCGCGCTGTGGTGCACGCGAGCACTGTGGTGGACACAGGCGCTGTGGGGCAGATCGCCACCTACATGCTTCTCGTGTCGCCGTCGTCGTCGACGCTAGTTGCTCGTCGCTCGTCGTTCATCGTCGTCGTGCGCGCGGGCGCGGCTGTGGTGCCGGAGCCACACGGCGGGGGAGGGCATTACGTCATACCCCCGCCCGCCCCCCCCCCATGACGCTCGTCGTTGCCGAAAATACAGACACGCTCTGTAGCTACGTGTTACTCGCATTGTGGCACCGTCTTGGTGTCTACAACGCTCAATTAGAGACATGTTCTGGTCATCGCTTGCAAGCAGCAGCACTTGCCATGTAGAATCGTGTCGCCATAAACTGGCGGAGTATGGGGTCCCATCGCCGTTCGCAACGCCTACGTATTGGGTCGTTCAACCGACCCCCATCCCCGTCCCCATCCCCATGTTTATCCAGTTCCACACCATCTCAGCACCCCAGTTGGGGATATGCCCCTCGAAACCTCTACCCCCATCCAGGGGGTAAAACGGCCAGTGGGGCGCAGGCAACGCCCATGGGGATAGGGAGGGTTAAACGGCGCTTACCTTTTCCTTGTTGAAGATGCTTCGCGTTCACCGCCTGATCTTTCCAGTTTTCGCCGCGTGTGTCGAAGATGGCCGGACACAATACTCAGCTGGCTCTAAATTTCCCGGGCGCGGTCCCCGTACCCCCCGACGGTGCGAGGACTTGCCCAACACGGGACCAAGGTGGCTTGAAGACAGCCCAGAGGCCGACAAGGGCCGAACAGGGCACCGAAGAGAGTCCAGAGGTGCGAAGATGGGCCCGAGGCGGCCCAGCAAGCTTCTGGACGGCCCAAGAGCTAGCGCTCCCGTGTTGGGCCGCAGCCGTGCTTTCACTTCCATTGAAAACGGGCCGGTGTCTGGGTATGTTTAGGCATCGTTTTTGGGGCGAAGTTTGGCCCAGCATCGTCGACAGTTGGCTGGTCCTAGAGCTCGTCCAAAAATGTGGCGAAGGTTGCGCGCTGAATTGGCCAGGGGAAGGACTCAACCATGTGCAGTTGTGAGTAACGCAGGTGTGAACACCGTCTTCGGTGGAGCTCCCTATGGGGCTACGAAGCGTGTGCGAGGTGTGCCGAAATGGGTGTGGTGACCGCATGCAAGCACTGCCACCTGGGCCTTCGGCGGAGCTTCTTACGGGGCCACGATGCGTGTTAGGGGTGTGCCGAGATGGGAGAGGGGGGGGCGCATACGGCCGCGGCCACTCGGACCTCCGGTGGAGCTCTCCATGGGGCCACGAAGCGCTGTTCTGGGTTGGGGATTCGCATACGGGCTGCGCCATTGGGACCTTCGGTGGATCTTTCGAGGGGGGGACGAAAACGGTGAGGAGTGTGCCGAAATTGGTGGCGGGGACGCATGCGCGAACTGCGCCGCTGAGACATTCGGCGGAGCGCTCTATGGGGCCACGAAGCGTGTGAGGCGTGTGCCGAAATATGTGGCGTGGACGCATGCGATCTGCGCCACTGGGACCTTCAGTACAGATCCCTAAGTGGCCACGAAGCGTGCGAGGGGTTTACCGAAATGCAATATGTGGCGGGGACGCATGCGAACTGCGCCACTACCACCTTCGGTTGGGCTCCTTATGGGGCCATGGCGCGTGTGAGGGGTGTACCGAATTGGATGCGGGACCGCATGCGAACTGCGCCACTGGGATCTTCGGTGGAGCGCTCTCTGGGGCCACGAAACGTGTGAGGTGTGTACCGAAATTGGGTGTGGGACCGCATGCGATCTGCCCCACTGGGACCTTCGGTGGATCTCACGATGGGGCCACGAGACGTGCGAGAGGTGTGCCGAGTGCATTGCGGGACCGCATGCGAACTGCGCCACTGGGACCTTCGGTTGGGCTCACTATGTGGCCACGAAACGTGTGATGGGGTGCGCCGACATGGGTGCGGGACAACATGCGAATTGTGCCTCTGGGACCTTCGGTGGAGCTCCCCATGGGGCCACGAAGCGTGTGAGACGTTTGCCGAACTGTGCGGCGGGGACGCATGCGATCTGCGCCACTGGGACCTCAGTGAAGACCCCTAAGGGGCCACGAATCGTGTGGGGCGTGTTTGCCGAAATTGGTGGCGGGGACGCATGCGAACTGCGCCGCCACTGGGACTTTTGAAAGAGCGCGCTCGTGGTATACTTTTCATTAAATGGGGGGCCCCAGCGTGACGCTACCCCCCCCCCTCCCTGGGAAAAGGGGGGGGGTACTTCCAAAGCTACCCCCCCTCCCTTCCTTCTGTTGGCGTTTCGGAGCTAGGTGGGCCCTAGCTAAGGGGGGGGGGGCCTCCAAGCTACCCTCCCCTTCGTTTCCGGAGCCCAAGGTCAGCCCTGGCTTCCCTTTCAATGGGGTCGGGGGCTTCCGAAGCTACCCCTCCCTTCCTTTATGGTTTGATGTTGTAGCTAGGGGGTCCCTGGCTCAAGGGGGGGGGGACTTGGAAGCTCCCCCCCTCCTCCCTCCTTTTTTGGAGCCCCGGGTGTGCCCGGGCTCCAAAAAAGCCCTTCCCAGCATGCTGTACGCATGCTTCTCCCTCTCCTCTAGCAATCTCCATCGCATCACCTATCCTCGACGGCAAAGGGCCCGCAGGGGGCCCGCCGAATGATCGCTTCACTCATTCCGCCGGCCCATCTTGCACCAACGCTGCTATACATATGTATATATATACACCTCTCTGTATATATCTATATATATACACCTGTTGTTGTGCCCACGGCGGGCGAGAGAGACGACCTCGACGACGTCGACGACGACGACGACGACGAGGACCACGACCACGACGACGACGACGACGACGACGACGACGACGACGACGACGACGACGACGACGACGACGACGACGACGACGGGGCTGACGTCCTCTTATCTCATCCTTCCCTGAGTCGAGCACGTGGCTGCCCCAGGACTCCGCCATGCGCCCGATGCTCGGCTGGACCCGCAGCCACAGCTCGGAGGCGGGAGCCGCGCTCGCCGCGCCGGCCGCGCCTCGTGCCGGGGTTCTTCGGGCGTCGGGCTCCGGGGCACGCTGCTGCCTGCCCGCGTCGGCACGGTCGGAGGGGGTCATGGAGAGCAGGGGGACGTTCTTTGCAGTCGACACCACGCGCCGGTCTTTGGTCTGAACGTCGACGTCAGCTTGGCCTTGGTCTGAGGCCGTGGTCCTCGGCTTGCCTCCTCCAGGAGCTTCAAGAGCTTTTGTGCCCTGTCCGAGCACTTCCGCCGACCGTCGAAAGTAGGTACTTTTGGATGCCCAACGCCCAATCTACTTTCGGGGCCTTACTACTTCAAGGATCGAGCGGGTTTTCCTGTTCCCTCCTCTTCCGGGGGCGGGCGGAAGCCCAATCTGCTTCCAACGCCTTGATATTTCATGTTTGCACCCACTTCTCCCGCCCAGTGTGTCATAGTAAAGATGATCGACATCCCAAGGGTACTCTTGCATCCCTGCCTCCTCGGCTGTCTTGGGTCCATCCTCGATCACTCTCGATGGCCAGCCCCGCTCAAAGAGCTTCGACATGGGCGTCTAAGGCCCTTGCATCCTAATCGTGCATCATTGATATCAGTTCTGACTGTAGCAGAACATGGGAGCCTTGCATGTCCTCATAATTCAATCTTCAGATGGCCTTCGCGTGCGCTAGCGATTGGTAGTGTGTGATAAAGCGCCGATGTAGCGTCGATGAGCGTCGATCGCAAGAGCCACCAAGGTGGGAGGCTCCCATGAGTTGCCGCAGAAGGGACGGAGACCGACAGCAGATCCTGCCCATGTTGCACAGAACTCGCTGTCGGTGTCGACGTTACACCTGCTCGAGACACCGGCGCCTGCCCCGGCAGCTGCTTCTGTTGGGGTCGTCGTTTCTGGGCAGCGTGCCCGTTCCTCCCACTGCCCGCTACTCGGGGGTGCCAGCCAGAGGCTCTCTTGATGGGCTCGTTTTCCACCACCACCACCACCACCATAAGTTGGAGGGCGAGGGGGTCCTCCTCCTCCTCCTCCTCCTCTTCTTCGTTCTCCTCCTCCTCGTCTTCCTCCTCCTTCCCCCCTCCAACTTATGGTGGTGGTGGTGGAAAACACGCCCAGCATCTCTCCGTGGCCGTGGCCAGGGGCGTGCTGGCAGGTCCTTACGCGTCTTCCGCCTCCGGGGCCCCTGCCGGGGGACTCGGGGCCGTCACACAAGGCGGCTCGGGCGGTCCAGGCCTGCGGGGTCCGCGCTGTGCGCAGCCACGGCGTCGGAGGTCTGTCAGGAGGGGAAAAACACAGACACAATTAATCGTCGATCCCCAGGGAAGTATGGGAAAATATGGGAAGTGGTGGGGAAGACAAAAACCAAGAATATATAGGAAAATATGGGGAATCTTTTTATTTGTGTGTATTTATTTGTGTGTCCCAGGGCCCCTTCAGTCTGGGCCCCCCCCCTCGGGCTCTCCTGGCGGCTCGCCCTCCGGTCCGCACAGGCGGCGGATATGCATAGAGTCGGGCGCCCTGGGGCCCAACTATATCCATATCCACCGCCCGCTGGGGTCCCAGGACGTTGGTTCAACGGCGGTGGATATCCCGCATCACATCAAGCCTTGAGCCCTCTTGAGTCGCTTCGCGATTTTCTCCGGGACAGTCGTGCTACAGCTCGAGGTCTCGCAGAAAGGCCCAATGTGTCATGGCGCCCGGCCCCTATCGGCCAACAGGATGCGTTACCGAACTTGCATTTGTGGCCCAAGACGTGCCCGAAATCGTGGCCCCAAACGGAGTGTGACCGACAATGCGTCTAAAATTGAAAGTCGCATCGGTTTCGAAGCTAACATTTCGGTCACACTCAGGCGCGGTCGGAACAATCCGTGCGCCAGTTTCGGTCACACTCGCGTAGATTTTCGGGCACGATTTCGGTGCGTCCGGCACTACCGTACCAGGCCAGCTCAGCAGATCACAAGTAAGCCACTTGAAACGTTTTCTGGGGGTGGACCGCGCCCCTGGGAGGCAGCTTCGGCGCCGCGATACTGGGCGTCTTTTCGGGCATGCCCCGAGCGGATCGCAACCGTGCGACGGTGTATCCGCGGGATCGCGCCCTGGAATCCTCACCGCGAGGGCGTGGATGTGGAGGCGTTCCCCGCTCGTGAGCTTCTGGGTTCTCGTCGCGTCCTTCCGCCCCTCGCCCGTCTCTCGTGCTCCCTCGCCTCATCCTGATGGCCCGCAGCCAACGGATGTCTTTGCATCTCTCGGACGTGTGCCTTTTTTTCGGGGCGGTCGAAGTGGGTACAGAGACATTGGGTACAGAGTCCAACAGCACTTCTTGTTCGTTCTGAACAGGGTTCGCTGTTAGCGAGGCAGCGGCAGTTGTCCACTTGAGGCAGAAGGCCGCCTGCCCAATAGCGGCCGTTGTCGGTTCCGGACAACACTTGCTGTTGGGCATCGTACCCATTTCCTCCGTATCCGTGTCGGGCGTCCGATTTTTTCTCGGCGAAGGCCATCGGGGAGCGTTTGGGGCCTTCCTGTGAACAAACAAGTCCGAGCGAGAACGAGCTGTGCGCACTCTGCAGGGCGGAAGGGACGTCCGGGCGAGCGCGGAAGGGACGTCCGAGCGCGGAAGGGACGTCCGAGCGAGGGCGAGCTGTGCGCACTCTGCAGGCGGGCATCTCTCTGGCACCTGCGGTTGGCCACAGACCGGTCGGGTCAGAACTCGACCGGGGGGAGGGGGCCAGGAGGAGGAGGAGGATTGGCGATTGGATTCGTTTTTTGCTGTTCTCTCTCCCTCTCTCTCTCTTTCTTTCTTCTTTGCTCCTCCCTCTCTCTCTCTCTCGGGGCAAATCCTGCCAGTGGGCGGCCCGGTGCGGGGCAGAACTCGAGAGAGGAGTGCCGCGCCCCCAGGAGGGGGCGGCCGCCGAGCCGGCCAGTGCGGCGTGGTGCACCCCGGAAGGCACCGGGTGCGCCATGCTCCCTCCGCAGTGCAGTCGGACCGAGGTGTACATCTGGGGGGGGAACAGGTACCCACGCCTCTATACCCCCTCGCCCGCTTTCCCCGTGGGCCTCCCGGGAGGCCCTCGTCACCACCGCTGGATTCGACTCGAAATCCTGGCCAGAACGCACCCCGGGAGAGGTCCGGGGAGCAGCGGTGTCGCTGCATTTTGGCTTCTCCAATGCAGTCAACCCGCATGGTAAGGATGGGCAACCTTCGCAAGGGTACCCTTGCATCCTTGCCTCCTCGACCCTTCCTTGGTCACGTTCGTCGGCCGCGCCCCGCTCGAGAGGCTTCGAGGTGGGCGTCCAATGCCCTTGCATCCTTATCGCGCATCCGCATGATACGGGCTGGTTTTATGAGATCAAGGTCGCCTCGGGGAGGGTACCCTAGTGTTCGTCGTGTTTGTTGGACGTTCTTGAGCATCATGGGGAGGGAGGGTAACCCCTTGGATGTGTTTGAGGGATGTTCTTGAGGGATGTTTTTCTGGCCCAGATCCGACGGTATTTGCCACATTTGCATGCTCAGCCTAGCACACGTATCATGTGTGAAGCCGGAGGTGGGCTGCGGTGTAGATCTATCATTCTGATATCTTCAGCCTCTGGCCCCTTACCCTTGCGATGCCGGTGTCCGTGTCTCGAGTCTGGCTCTTCGAGTGCACGCCGTCCAGATTTCCGCGTGACCATCAGGCAGCGGTGTCCCCGCGGATGCTTCTGCCAGGTCTTGCCCGCCTCTGATCTGCGACCTCGGTCTTCACCACCCACCAAACCACCCCAACCCAACCCGAAGGCTCAGATTTACCCTCGATTTCCAGTGGGGGGGGGGGTCGGGAAACATAGAAAAAACACGTGTGGAATCCTTACCCCCCCCAACCCGAAATTCGGGTCTTCGGGTTGGGTTGGGGTGGTCTGGTAGGTAGTCAGGTCTTTCCTGCTCCCGGCCCCTGCCGGGGCGCGGCCACGCGGGCGATGTCCCGCCCTTGGCCCCCCGAGTCCCCGAGATTTTTCCCTCCGAGAGAAGTGTGGGCCAGGGTGGGCCCCGAGCGTTACCTGCACACTGCACCCTGGAGGTGAAACTGCCCTGCGGTGTGGGGTCTGTGGCGTGAGAGAGGTGGTGGGAGCTGTGGAGGCGAGTCGGGGGTTGGACAGAACCCCCAACAGTGACACGCCGATCAGCGAATTCTCCGTTTTCGGCTCTCGAGGGGGCGCCGTGGCCGTTGTTTGCCGGGCTTGCGCCCGCCAGGTTTGGGCCTCAGGTCGTTTTCACTAAAGCACGTTTTACTAAGGCGGGTCTGACCATCCCCGAGTGAGGGCTGTGTGATGTATTCCACCAGTGGAATTCGCAGTCGTATCTTCCAATGCTCGTTCAAACATCCCACCCTCCCAATGTCGGACGCCATCTCGCACTATAGTCGGCTATGTTGAGCTATTTGGGAGGCCATCTTGAAGCATCGGAGGCCCTCTTGGAGCCATCTTGGGCGAAAATGTACCATCTGCCGCAACGCAGCCCGCCCAAAACAGGAAGGGGGCGGAGGAGGTTACCCCTTTTCGAAGGGAAGAGGGTTTTGGAAGAGGAAAGACAGATATCGTTAGACCACCTTCGCCCAAAGGGCTGGTGGTATTGGGTTTCGCACGGTTTGATGTTTTTGCTTATTACGAAGGCCTTACGGCCGGGGCCGCCGACCCTGAAGACGACGACGTTGACCACGACGAGGTCGAAGGAGGAGGAGTCATTAGGAGGAGCATGAGGAGGACGCGAAGGAGGAGGCGGCCTCTTCGGAGACTCCTGGGAGGGTGGCGGTGGCGACGCTTCTTGGGGGCCTCTTGGTGGCCTTTTCGGGTGTCCTGGGGGCCTCTTGTGGGCTTCGTCGGGCCTCTCGAGAACTTATGATGGCCTCCTGAGAGCTTGTCGGGGCCGACATATCGAAATGTCCGTTCGGGTTCCCTGTGAAGGCACGCTCTTGGAGCCGTCTTGGGGCCGTCTGGGGCCGTCTTGGAGGCGTGTTAGGCTTTGTTGGTGTTCTCTTTGCTGTCTTGGAGCGCTCTTCGACGCCTCTTGGGCTGTCTCGGGGCGATCTTGAAAGCCTCGTCGGCCGTCTTGGAGCGGTGGACCGCGGAAGACCAGGAACGCCCAAATCTGTCAAAAACCTAAGGAACATGTTTTTGTCCCTTGGGGCTCTCTCGGCAGGGTCTTTGGAGGCCTCTCCGGGCGTTTTGGGGGTCTCCTGGGCCGTCTGGGAGCCTGAAGCCGTTTTGAACCGATCGTATGGCGATTGGGAGCCCTCTTGGACCGTCTCGGGAGCCTCTTGGGTCACTCTTGGCTTGCTTTGGTATTTTTTGCAGCCCGAGAACCCCAGGGGGGGATGCGTACTTATCTGACCCCCCCCCGGGATCCCCCCGGGACCCCCCCTCCCCCGACGCGGGGCAGGGATCCAAGGGCAGGGGCTTCCCTTCGATTGATTACGACCGTGCGGGGTTGTTCTCTCGATGACAGGCTTGAGGAGGGTGCAGGAAAAGGAGACGACGCAGACGACGACTGAGGGAGACGATGACTCGAACAGACGAACCCCCTCGCACACGCCGACAGGCTCGGCGGATCTGTTTTCTGTGATCAGCGTTTTAATCATACTTTTCAGCAATGTCAAAATGTGTTGTTGCATTTTGATGTTACCACTGCCAGTGACGTTGTGAGCGGGCTTGGGCAGGGTCATGTGGTTTTTCTTTGAATGATGCGTAAGCGTGCATGTATTGTAGTGCCGCTTGGTCTTGATTGTGTGGTCCCATGATCTTGGTGAGCAAGCGTTTGTGATCATGTGGCTTTCGGTAATGCGCGCATGGGGAACTTCGACGCGCTTGTTGCGATGACATGACATGTTGTGCATGCCGATCGGCGCGGGTCTTCGCGGCGGTAGTTGTGTCCTCTCATTGTGCATTCTTGACTGTCTCACGATCCGCGCACAGCGCCAGCCAAATCATCCCGCGATGGGTCTCCGTCGCGGACTTGGTTCTCCACATCGAGAGAAGCAAGCATTGACGGACAGCATCCCCAGCGGACAGGCGGAGGCGCGGTTGATCATGAGTCAATGTCGTTGTCGGCCTCGCAATTAGTTGTCGTTTTCGGAGTTGCCCGCACAAGTTGCTTTGGGCCTGCTGCTATCCTTCACGTATGATGTTTAGACGGCCATGCCGACTATCCTCCTTGTGTGGGCCTGGGGTTCATGATATCTTGCATGGTTTGGTTGCGCAAATGTGTCCACCATCATGGCAGGCATGGCATCCAAGGGGCCACCAGCTGGATTCGCAAATGCACCATCTCCTGGCGCACCCTTCTCTTTGCTGGCTTCACGGTGGAAGCCCTTACGGGGCTGCTGCTTGACCGCGCGATGGCGCCTTCCTCCGCTCGTGCTCGGCTCCGCCGTGGCGCCGCTCGCGCGGCGGCGACACCAAGGGTGTGTTCGCGTGCGCTGCTCGCTTTGCTGTTCGCGTGCGCTTGGTTTCGCGCTTGGCCTGCGCATGTGGTGTCTGCCTGCTTCAGCTCCGCGGGCCAGGGAGGAAGCCGCCTCGCAGTCGTGGGGGGCCCCGCGCCTGTCGCCAAGCCGAGGTCCGTGTGTGCTCCTGCTTGCCAGTCTGACCCTGCTGGTGCCGCCGGCCCTCCTCCTCCCCGCCAGCTCTGCTCTCCACCTTCGGCGCTTCGCGCCCTTGCGCCCCTTCTGGGCCCACAATGTTCTCTTGCCTGCTGAGCCGTGGATCCCCGTCGCTCGGTTTCTGTGCAGTTGTCTTGCCGTGGCTCCCTTCCCTCCCCACCTGCCCCGTTGCAGCTCCGCCTTGTCGCTGAGTGAGGGGGGCCAACTTCTGCCACACGGTCGTGGGGCGCCGTGCCCGTGGGAGGGGGCAAGCGTGCTTCACAGTCGTGGGGGGCGCCTTGCTGCACGCGCTCGAAGAGGCACTCGAGGCGTTGACTGTTGTACTGGGCACGTGGCCCGCGCAGTTCATGTCACACCGCCCGCACCCGCGCGCTCATGACGTGCCTGTTGTGGCGCATGCGTTGTGTTGCGAAGCAACGGTGCTTGTCGCAGGTGCTGCGCTTCGATTGCAGCGGTTGTGTGCAAGTCCTTGCTCCTTCCATGGGTGCGCGTGCACGTGTGAATCTTGCCTCGCTGTCGAAGCGTTGGGCGCGCGGGTCCCCTTTCACTTCGGGGGGGCTCCGCTTCCCGGTCGAGTCGTTTCGATCTTGCGGCGTTGCCGATATTGGCTTCTGCTGTTCACGGCGATTCGGAATATTCTGCGCCTCGCTATCTTTTCTGTTTGGTCGTTGACATTGTCGTTAACATTCTGTTTGATGGCAGGTGGGGATCGCTAGAATGGTCGCCGTTCGCCCGAACGCACATACTTCGAGGAACACGGCGCTTAGTCGCGGCCACCGCGGGGCCAGACGTAGGGAACACGGCGCGCGGAGCATCGTTTTGTGGCAGTTTCCAACCATAGTTTGGTGTTAGGTCCTTGTTCTGAAGAGACAGTGCCCCGCGTCACCTCCCACCTGCTTCCCCGCTCCCTCCTCCTGTCATCATCAGTATCAGCATCAGAGTCGTCATTACCATCATGACCATCATCGTCATCATTATCATCTTCATCGTCATCGTCATCACCGCCGTCATCGTCACCATCACCGCCACGCATTTCGGCACACCCGCCACACGTTTCGTAGCCCCAGAGGGAGCTCCACCGAAGGCCCCAGTGGCTGCGCTCGCATGGCACCACCGCACCCATGTCGGCACACCTCTCACACATGTCGTAGCCCCATAAAAGCCCCACCGAAGACTCAAGTCGCTGCGCTCGCCTGACACCACCGCACCCATTTCAGCACGCACCTCACGCGTTTCGTGGCCCCATCGGGGAGCTCCACCGAAGGCCCCAGTGGCGGCGCTCGCATGACACCACCGCGCCCATCTCGGCACACCCCTCACACGTTTCGTGGCTCCACAAGGAGCTCCACCGAATGCCCCAGTGGCCGAGCTCGCAAGAAACCACCGCACCCATGTTGGCACGCCCCTCACACGTTTAGGGGCCCCATGGGGAGCTTCACTGCAGGCCACAGTGGCTGCGTTCGCATGGCGCCACCGCACCCACTTCGGCACACCCCTCACACGTTTCGTGGACCCATGGGGCGCTTCACCGAAAGCACCAGTGGCTGCGTTCGCATGGCGCCACCGCACAACTTTCGGCACACGGCTCACACGGTTCGTTGCCCCATTTGGAGCCCCACCGAAGGCTCCAGCGGTTGCGTTCGCAGGACAGCGTTGCACCCATTTCGGCACGCTCCTCACATTTCGTGGCACCAGAGGGAGCTCATCCGAAGCGCCCCAGTGGCTGCGCTCGCATGACACAACCGCTCCCATGCCGGCACGCCCCTCAAACGTTTCGTGACCCCATCGGGAGCTCCACCGAAGGTCCCAGTGGCTGCGCTCGCATGGCACCACCGCACCCATGTCGGCACACCTCTCACACATGTCGTAGCCCCATGGGGAGCTCTATCGAAAGCCCAGGCGGCTGCGTTCGCATGACACTGCCGCGCCCATGCTGGCACACCCCTCACACGTTTCGTGGCCCCATGGGGAGCTTCACAGAAAGCCGAATTGGGTGGCTGCGATCGCATGGTACCACCGCACCACTTTCGGCACACGGCTCAAACGTATCGTAGTCCCATACGGAGCTCCACCGAAGGCTCCAGTGGCTGCGCTCGCATGGCAGCACCGCGCCCACTTCGGCACACCCCTCACACGTTTCGTGGCTCCATCGGGAGCTCCACCGAAGGCCCCTATGGCCGAGCTCGCAAGACACCACCGCACCCATTCCTGCACACCCATCACACGCTTCGTGGCCCCATCAGGGAGCTCCACACCCCTCGCACGTTACGTGGCCCCAGAAGGCGCTCCACCGCAGACGATACCAACAATTGCGACTTATAATTGTACATGGTTGGGTCCTTCGCCAGGAACATGTTGCGTTCTTTCTCCTGGCGCTGGTAGAAGCAGCGGTTCCCGATCGCTACCTCTCTGTTGTGTGATGTGTTGCTTGTGCCAGGGCAGCGAGAATCGAAAGCCTAAACACTTGACATCAGCATGTCCAATGCACGCGCCGAGGCTACTTTCGACTAGCGTTTTGGGTGCAGCGCACGCACAGTGCAAAACACACCAGCACACACACACACACACACACGCACACACACACACACGCACGCGCACGCACGCACGCACGCACGCACGCACGCACGCACGCGCGCGCGCGCACGCACGCACGCACGCACGCACGCACGCACGCACACATACACACACAACACAACACAACACAACACAACACAACACAACACAACACAACACAACACAACACAACACAACACAACACACGACACGACACGACACGACACGACACGACACGACACGACACGACACGACACGACACGACACGACACGACACGACACGACACGACACGACACAACACAACACAACACAACACAACACAACACAACACAACACAGCACAAGACGACACAGCACAGCACACAACACACAACACACAACACAGCACACAACATAGCGCACAACACAACACACAACACACAACACAGCACACACACACAACGCACAACACAGTAAACACAACACAACACACAACACACAACACGCAACACGCAACACGCAACAAGCAACAAGCAGCACCACACCACACCACACCACACCACACCACACCACACCACACCACACCACACCACACAACACAACACAACACAACACAACACAACACAACACAACACAACACACCACATACACACGGGCGCGCAGCGCCACAAGGCGTAGGCGAGCGAGCCAAAGCTTGCCGTCTGGAGGGCTTGTCCTGGGTTTTGTTTCCGACGTTTTTTTTGTTGAGCTGCCGCTTCGCTCCAGCCTGGACCAAACTGCAGATACCGCCAGGTGCTTGGATTTGCAGATGCTGCTCGTCGGCAAGCGCCCGCCTGCAATGAGTGTGTGTTGCTGTGTTAGTTGGTTAGTTGCCTTTTCCCAGCCAGTCCGTGTAAACTTTATGTTCGAGTGTAGTTGTCCTTTTGGGGTTCTTCCGCCACGACCGAAATATCACCCCGGCCTGCGGCAGCACCTGCCTGTAGCCGATGTTTGCCCCATCTTTGTTTTTCCCTCGCCTCCCTGTCTCACGCCTCCGGCCGTACATCCATTTTGTGGCCGTGTATTGAGCGTCGCCCTTGGCCACCTCGAGGGTTTGCGCGAGTAAGTTGTTTTTCCCAGCCCTCCTGTGGTGTAAGGCTTTTTCGTTTTGAGAAGAACTCGCCCCGCGTATCCCTCCCTCTCTTTCCTCCCGTTCCCTCCTCCCCTTCCTTGCCCCCCCCCCCGAGGTACATATTCATTCCGGCACACTAGTCAAATGTTGCGCTGCCCCCCCAACGGGGGCCGCCCCGAGGTCGTCCACATGGCAGCGTTCGCGCGCGCCTGCTGTGCACGCATACTGGCACACCTCACGCTCGTCGTCGCCCCCTGGGGTAGGGAGGCCACCGATGGCCCCCAGGTGTCTGTGTATGCCTGCGCCCAACGCGCACATCAGCACACCTCCACGACCCGTGGCCCCACAGGGGGCGTCACCGAGAGCTCCAGGGTTTGTGCTTGCCTGCGCCGCTTGCCTGCGCCCACCGAGCCACTTCTTCGGCACACCCTCACACGTCATGTGCCTTGTGGGGAGCTACACTGACGGCCCCAGCGGTTGCGTCCGCGGGCGCCCACCGCACGCAGTTCAGCACGTCGCACGCACGTCCCGTGGACGCAGATGGGGGCCCCACCGACGGCCTCAGTGGTTGCTTCCGCCAGCGCGCGCTTGCAATCAGTTAGGCACCACCGCCCACGTGCGATGCACCCACAGGGCCCTGCACCACAAGCGCTGGTTGTTTCGTTCGCACGCGCCCACCGCGCTCATGTTTGCACACCCCTTCAACGTCTGGATTTGGTAGGGGGACCCGCCGACGGCCCCAGTGGCTTCGTTCGCGCGCACCCAAAGCGCCAATC